TGCTTCAAAGTCCCAGTTTTTCCTTAAATCGCCTAAAATCGCCCAAAATCGCATTATATCGCAGCGATTTAAGGCGATTTACCGCCCCAGAGTAGGCCTTAATATAGCATATTATATACTATATATATTGATCAAAAACAGTAGAGCATTAATAATTGTTGTTATTAATTATTGAAGTTATTGCAATAAAATATTTAATGGTTTCGGGTTGAAGTGCTCCCAAAGGTCACCTTCATGCCCATAGACTCATTCAATGTAAATATAATCGGCCGACTTATAGGAACTGTCCAAGGGACCCTTACCCCTTGGTTCAGGTTAATAAGGTCAGAGGGGGTCGCTACCCTTCTGGCATGTGCTCTGGGGACCCTTACCCCCAGGGCAGCCCTATAGGGACCATTACCCCTAGGGTTATCAGAGCGGGCCTTATATATACCCCGCAGGACGAAATATAAGGCCATAAAGAGTCTATTGGGTTAAATATACATATAATGTGACACTTATTGTAACAGGAGTACTTCACCCCCATAACCATTTCTCCAACATAAAAGCTGTATGTGTCTACTCTTAATTCTTAGCTCAGTTAGCTGGCTGAAGAGCAACTGTTCCATTAACCGTCACATTGACATCCCTACAATTTACTTACAACTGAAATGCTCACACAAATCTCCGAATTCATCTTCATTAACCTTTAACCCACCCTCAACTTCCTTCCCTACACCGTCTCATGATAACAATAATCACCCGCATTCGATAGTAACCAATGGCAACCAACATACTGAAATCCATCAACCAATCAGACGTTCCCACAGACTTCAACAGCGTCAACAACAGCACGAAAATTCAAATGATCAATCTTTCTGATGAAGGCTCGAAGTACCGAGTCAAAAGCTCAAACCAAATAATTACAATCCGGAGAACACTGTATCATTTTGTAAAAATTATAATTTAATAAAATGCCTGGATTACAAATCTTCAAATCTATTATATATATATATATATATATATATATATATATATATATATATATATATATATATTTTAAGTGCTGACCTTTCCGACCGATATGTCATTGGTGGGCGCATGGGGGTTCAAAATAAAACTTCGAGCCCCCATTAATGTATAGTTGCATTTACTCAGCCAAGGGCCTGTATTTGCATTTTTTTGCAACTGCTTCTGGTTAGATCTGAAAATTGTAGATGACCTTCCGCTTTAGTGAAATTTCCAACTAGTCTATATCGAGCGAGATGCCCAAAAATCTCGATACTTCTCATACATTACGCCATCTTTGTTGAAGATCTTGAATTTGAATCCGAAATGGCAATAATTTCAGCACTTGCTCTCCGTAAGGTGGAAAAATGCGGTAGTATGTTATCCCGCCGAAATGTGAACAATTTCGTGCGAAATGAAGTCGTGATACATAAGGCCAGTGCCGCCGAGAGGTTGCCTGGGGAAAAACGTTTCAAGGGACTCCAACTATGACTTTCTTTTATTAAAATGCTTGTCGTATAAAAAGTTTTTCTTTATCATACAATTTTCCCGGATTTCTTGTCGAGGGTCGGACTGGTTAGATGTCTCCGGTTAGGAGGGGTGAGGGTCAGGTTATCAACGTGGCTGTATTTCTTGATGACATACATTATATACACAAAGTGCATTCGTATGATGAGGATGACCAAGTGATGACCTTACGATGGTATATATATCATACGTATGAAGCCTTACGATGGTATATATATCATACGATGGTACAGTATATATATCATACATATGAAGCCTGATTTATTTGTATTGCGCATGTCCAGACAATTTGTCGCAAACTGGAATCAGGCCTTTAAGTCTGGCCGCTACTTCTTATCGCAATGATAAAAAAAGGTTTCATTTTACACTCATGTCTAACCAGTGCATTTTATGTTTTTTTCAAGCTTTGATATTCATATTATTAAAATTATTGTAATATATTATGTAAAATTACTTTAGGCTTTGGAGAAATTAAATTATGATTTTGTTATTTAGAAAAATATTTCACTTAAAATTCGATACAAAAACAATCCACAAATTCAGTTGTGACAATGTTTAAGTAAATATAACAGTATCATCAAGAATAAAGTCTCGTACAGGAGAACAAGTTTTCCATGGCTATAGTTTTATTTGTTGGTGTGAACGGGAAAAATCCCAAACGAGTTTTTCTTGAGAAGCAGCCTTGTTCAAATTGTAGTCATGAATAAGGCTGCTTCTGAACAAGGAAATTGTTCGTGGGTGTTTGCCTCAAAGAAAAATTGTCAAGTAATTGGGAGTATACCGGTATTTTCCTGCACACACATCTTCGAGCGACCATTGCCATTCAATCTTGTTAATTTTGAAATTTTCCTATTAAGTTTTGAATGGTAAAAAGTTTTGGGTGTTTTCAATTTTGTTGGGAACAGCTTTGAACGAAAATTATCATGAAATTTTTTACGTATACTAAATAGCGCGGACTGGTAAAACATAATTGGTAAGAAAAATCGATGAAAAACGCTTGCATCATGGTCGTCGTAAACTCGACAAGGAGATGACTTGCTCGTCTGTACGGGCTTACAAAATACAAGTTTGACCCATATGAAAGAACTCTCTCTATATATATATATATATATATATATATATATATATATATATATATATATATATATATATATATATATATATATATATATATACAAATGCAAGACTTTTTACAATTTTTTAAATGAGATCATCCTGAAATTGCCCAAAATCGCAGTGTGTATAATGAGCTCTGCAGGGTTATAAAATGATGGAATAAAATGAAGGTCGAGCATCATAATTATTATAAAGCCATTTTCGTAAATTTCTTTCAAATGCCAAAACGTTTTTATTTTACATAGTTTAACTTATATTAGATATGTTGGCTTAAATAGAGATGCGACAAAATAATATAGCCACCAAACCCGTTCGCATTTACGCAACTGTTTAGAAAATGAATGTCATAAGGTGAGAATATTAAGATGCAGTAAAAAAGCAAAACATCTTCTCAATTCCTTATCCGTTTAACTCTCGTAAGTGCGAGCGAGTTAGTGTTATCTCTTATCTATATATTTTATATTTTATATTTAAATCATATATGCAAGGACACTGGAACAAGGCAAGGATTTCTCCAATTCTGCAATATTTCACTGAATTAGAGAAATATTTGTTACAATCTCAAAAAGGCACTATCAGTCAAAACTCAAATTTTAGCAGAAAAAAAATTAGAACCGCACATCTTTCTGATAGTTTCTGACTTCAGATCTCAAACATGTCCTCACAGTAGCTACATTTGGCAAATGAATTTTCAACTTCTTATCCTCAACTTCTTATGCAGACGAAATAAAAGTAACTGGGCTACCTTGACCAAATAATATGAAGCTATATGCTTACATTTTACGATTGATCGCGGATTGTTCTTAGATTTGATACGAGTGTCCCTTTTATCGTTCCAGATTCCCCGAGTATACTGTAGGCTTTGCTGATTGAATCAATGTATGCATGCAGTGCATGGATTACATTAATAAGGCAAATTATATTTATACAAAATGAGAATCTTGTCTTTCTAACTAGCTTTCCAGCTTATCTTGGAAATATCAACACTAAAACTATACTGTTATATTATTGATTTCGTGTGTACTGTATTCAATCATGTATTAGAGATTTTCAGTGGCGTAGTTGCATTTTTCAAACCATTGTCTTCAACTCTTTAGATGCAGGTTTAATTGAATAACATTACCAGTTGCCCTGGCTAGCTTCGCATCATGTTCTTTAAAGGTGATCTACAGTCCGTATGTAAACAAAGTTTTTGTTTACATTTTTTGTGTCCAAAATATTGAGCTTTATTCGACAACTATTTATATTTTCAAGCTTCTAGAGTATAATAAATGATCAAGGAACAACAATCAGGCTTTTCAAGAACTCAAAACATAGTTAAACTGTTTGCATCATAAAAAGTGGGCTCATTTGTGCACATGCGCAGATCGGACTGTAGATCACCTTTAAAAGCCATATCTAATTAATATTTGATTAAACAAATAATTAACAATAACATGATTTTACATGCAGTACGAGAATTTCTTGCAAATTATATATTTCGTTTTCAATTTTAGGTTATCAAAATACCACGGTTTGAATAGCGCTTGAATAGTTCAGTGAATCTCTTGCTCATATTATACTGGAGCAAATGAAAACAAACTACAACTTGTAGCGAACTGTAGACAGAATTTTGGCATTGCATGTTAAGATTTCGGCTAATTAAGTGAGATACATAAACGCCGTTTTCAAGGCTTGGCTGAAATGAGCATATACTTTGTTTGAAAATTAAAATAAATTCAAAAATTATCCAGATTTTTTTTCGCAGATCCTGCCTGAAAGTCGGCATGATTTTGTCATATATAATTGCTCCTAACTCCCGGCTAACCGAGAACTAGAAAATACCAATTGTTATTCTGACATTTATTGCAGGAAATCCGATTATTTATTGCAATTTTATATTCATTGCAGGAAATAATTTGAACACTGCTATTTCCAAAATTTGTTGATTACATTATATAACCCTTTAAAGTCAAAATATAAATATAAATAGTGAACAAACATGAATTTTCTAGCTCTTTTGCATGCATACAACAATTACGTTAGCGATATCATAATCCTCGTCTCATGCACCCCAGACATCCAATCTCATTTTTCGTGTGAAAAAGGTTAATATAATTTTCAACTCCAAAGTCAATTTTAACATGAAGGAGGAAAAATCTTCAATACCCTTGTCCCTTTCGCCTTTGAAATAAAAGCTTCTTCGACTATGCTCGAAACGTGTATAAAGCTGGTAACAGTTTTAACCTCAGGACGAGTAATTTTATAATTACAGAGTAAATCAATTGAAGCACATGCACAATGGCAAAGTTTTCCGGTCCATGTTCCTCCGCATGTGATAGAAGAATAAAAGTTCAATTTGGAATAAGAATGCTTGTCGAAATTGAAAGTTGTAACGCAGTTTTACTTAAAGTCAAACAATACCGAAGCTGGGGCTAGCGGTGTGAGAGAATGGCGTCAGATTCTTCATTAGGCGAAAAAAGGCGTCAGATCCCTCATTGCCTAAAATGTAAAATGAACCAAACAGCGCAGGCTGCATAATCGACTTACTGGAGAATCAGTGGGCTGAACATCCTTCTAATTTGTCAAAAGAGGGGGAGGGGGGTAATTTCCGTATCATTTCCACTTTTAGACTTGAAAAAGCACTTACAAAATAAAAATAGAATTAGAGCAAGATGGGACAGTAACATGATTGTGAAATTGTGAAATGCAAGACCACAGACTAGTGCCTTGCTACCATAGCTCGGTCCCTCAGACACTTTGTCAATATCGAATTATGAGTCATATGACCAAACCTCGTCTAGCACCATCTAACAAATGTGGCTGGATCCATCACCGAATGTCAAATCTTCGCCAATATTCACCTGGCCTTCGAAGCCTACAGTATGCCTGTTAATTGTTTCACTCACTATTGTTGCTGCAGTTATCGTTGTAGTACTTGTTGTGAACAAGAACACACCAAGCAAGGCATTATATGTTGCATTCCTCTATTTCTCCCTGCTCCCCACACGCTTTAAAAAAATGTTCGTAAGACAAAACTTGTTAGATGTTTAACAACTTGAATGGATGAAAATATAGAGGTATCCACAGTTAAAAAGAAGAAGTATAGTGTCTCCAAAAAGCATGCTATTAATCAAACACCATCAACAATTGCAGACTTTCATACTAGGACATGACTAAGTTATGTGCAAGCTACAGTTGAAATCAAAATGCCATCTGTGGCGCATTATCAAATGTAATGTGATGGAGTATTGCTATATTGTAGACAACTATACTTTGTTGTCTACGGCCATGAACTATTATAATTAAAATATTTATGGCAAGGTGAAAGGAGCAGCCATTGGCCATATGATGGTACACATTATATTTGTATTAAAACTTGATGATGCAGATTCTTGTCATGAAAATTGAAGCTAATTCTAGCTGGAAATACTAAGAATAGTCTTTAAAGTGGTGAACTCTAAAAAACCGTACAAATGCAATCCTGTACGAATATTAACGAAGTGTAGCAATGGACTTGGATGAACAATTGATAGTCTAGACATTGATGTTTACGACTTAACCTAGACCTATAAGAGCTCTGACATATGCAATATAGGTTACTTGTGTCTGGAAGTGGGTTTCTCCTAGAACGTTTGAATACATCTTGTATGCCAAGCGTAAGTTACTCACTTCCAAAGTTTTGTTTTTCATTTTTTGGGCGACTTTGACCACAATGAGATATACTTGAGCTTCAGCTTCGCTTCCTTCTGGAAAAAGATATTTAGTAACAGACAATGCGTCATAAAACGACGTAAGCGCATCTTTATAAGATCCAACATTGAAATAAGCTGTTGCAATCGCACAATGACACTCAAATTCTTCGAATTTGTCGCAGGTTTCATCAGAAATATTCGGAAGCTGCAGAAGTGCGTGTTTAAGAGAATCAATTGCTGTTATATATTTACGCATTTGGTTTTGAATGCGGCCCTTCCACGTATAACATCGAAAGATCCAAATATGTTGTGTACCTTCAGGAAGTGATTCTGCTATTAGGATAGCTCTGTCAATTACCTTTCTCGCCAATTTAAACTTTCCAATATTATTTAAACCTATAATCATTGCAACGGAGCATAAAACGGTCAACCTTCGAATAGCATGATGGCTTCTCAGTGTGACCTCTAACTCAATGTCAAGAGCTTCTTGAAGGAACGCTAAACCAGCTTTATACTTTTCTGACTCAAATTGTATTGAACCTAATCTCAAATAAATTATAGGTAAGGACGACCTATGACTTTCTTTGATTAATGGTAAACTACTTTCCAACAATTCCGTGTACAAGATTTCATCAACCTTCAACTCTATAAGATGCATACAAATGAAACTTTGCATAGCTGACCCTTGATCGCCATCCGTGCTAATTTCAAGTGCAGTTTTGAAACATTTTATACTTTCAGTGTTGTTGCCAAGCACGATATGCACCTGTCCAATAATACAGTAACATTGAACTACACAACTTATATACCCAATAGATCTTGGCTTCTCAGCATACAGTGTTTCCCATATTTGCAGAGCCTGTTGATATGTTGCAAGACCAGATCTAGAAGACAAATCATTGAAACCAAACTGCGAATGCCCTAGCCAAAGTAAGATTTGAGCGATTTCTTCAGTATCTTCATCGCAGAATTTCCTTTTTATTCTAAGTGCTTCTTCAAAAGATGCAGCAGCAGATTCAAATTTGTTTAGGTACATATACGCTTCTCCTATCCCGATATAAAACTTGGCTAGATCAGCATTACAGCTGCTGCTCCCGTCATGAGTGGCTTTCATAATTCCAAGAGCCTGATCAAATGCATTAAGAGCAGCAATAAAATTATCAGCATCATTCTCAGCCAAACCCATATTAAGATAACACACCGCGGTATTCCACTGTTGTTCACCATATTGTTTAAGTGAAAGATCAAGTGCGTTACGACATGTGTCAACACTTACACCTTGTTTTTCCCCTTTAGCGATTTGCAAATTATAGAAATTGAGCAATCGCGCAGAAAACAAATTCACGGACATCTCAGACCTAATCGGAAATGTTGTACCTGTCAAGGAACAACAATCATCAGACATCACTGATTTTTCAAGAAACGTGATCTTTTCATCCAAAAGAACTTCTTGTCCCACACGAACACCAAGAGCAGCTAAAATACAATCACCATATGCGAATATTTGAACCAAGTATGGTGAAGCGTTGTATGCCTTATTTTCTAGCTGCTGCTCTAATTGATGAACAAAGTTTAGAAAGTAGATTTGTGTCTCATCACTTACAATTTGTTTCGACCAGACATATAAAAGATAGACAAACAATATTAATTGCTCGTCTTTATATTCTCTTTGCATCATAGATGAAGTTTCATCACAATTACTAATTAGAAAGAGATTGTAATTACCAATTTCCTTACAAACGTCGATGGTCTCTCTATTCAACTTGCTCGATTTGCTGTACTCTTTTAAATGATCAGTATAAAAAAGAGTAAGAAGCTGCAGGCATAAGCATTTTATAAGTTGTTGATCAGCACAATTTTGTAAACCATCGACATATTTTTCAATACATTCAATACCTGACTTTATATTTCCTTCGGAAATAAGTGAAATTCCTTCATAACAGCCTAATTTTGCTGCACTACCATCCGATAACAACATGACGTTTTCACGTATACGTTTAGGTATTTCGAAATACTTGGAAGACTGTGGAAAGGCAATACGTCGAAAATACTTGCTAACATGCAACTTCGAGTAAGCTTCATTGTGTTGCTGTGTTCTGCATTTTTCTATAGCAAAATCATATAATTTGGGAATATCTAGCAATTCAACGGAGGGTAAAGCGATAAGAAAAAGAAATATTTCAGACTTGCATAAGATGCGAAAAAGATCTTGGCAATTTTCCAAACTACACGTGCTTGTCGTAAAATAATGAATAGCAATCGACAGATGCTCCATTGCGTCTTGCAGTTGGGGAGTGTCCACCGATTTCCCAGAAAGAAAATAGTCATTAATCCTTTCAAAAAGAAGAAAGTAATACGTACAAAAGCGAATTCTAGAGGATTGGAAAATATTCTCAAAACCTTTCTCTTTTGCTTTATCTACAACAAAAGAATGAATGAGAGGGTGAATAGAGTAATATTCTCCACAGGGATCTTCATCAATAAGTGATTTCTTCACAAGTGCTTTAAGGCTCCGTAAGACTTTCGCAACTGCCATTTCTCCAAATACAACGTTAATCGCAGCATCTTTACTTATTCGAGAGGATGGAAATACGCTTAATGAAATCAGCGCATGTTTGTCAGTTAATGACAGCTGCTCAAAAGGAATCTCGAACAACTTTTTCATGCTTTGCTCGTATGAACTTTCTATCTCTAAAAGATTTCGCGAAAGACTTAATTCCTCAAGTATTTTATTCGCTATATCTTCATTATTGTTTTCAACTATCGAAGCAACGAGTTTCATTGCGAGAGGAACGTTGGAAGAAATTCTAGCCACATTTGCAACAATACTGTCAGAAAATGAAGAAAGAAGTTGACGAACAAATTCAGCAGACGAAACTGGATGAAGGGGTCGAATTCGGATGTCTCGAAAACCTTCCATTAGATCGCACATATTTTCTAAATGCTCCCTCGTTGTGAAAACTATATTAATGTTTACATTACTGTCTAATAATTCTTCAAATAAACGCGCAAGTTTGACGGAACTCCTTTCACTCGACAAAAGATCATCAAGGTTATCAAATATAAGAAAAATCCGACACAAAATTTCTCTAAAAATACTTACAACCTTATCTATAGGTCTTAAACTACGATCTGTTAAATTACTCTTAAAAATACTTAAAATTTTAGATAAAAATTCATCTACTGTTTTAATGCCCTGGTATTTAAAAAAATAAACAGGTAAGCCGAGAGACAAAAGATGACGTGCTGCTTCAATAGCTGTGGATGTTTTACCAAATCCAGGGGATCCCCAGATGTTTAACAGTCGTGTTGATTGACCAGTAATAAGATTTGTAATTTCTTCAATTTCATCTTCTCTACCAGTAAAGAATGGAACAGGGCTCGGAACATATGGCTTGGGTAATGTTTCTAGGTTTAATGACACAATTTTAATTAAATCAATTTTTCCGGCGTTAAATACGAGGTTCCTACCAAAAAATAATGGGCAACATTTTATAACTTAGCAGACAAACTTTGTCTGAATAGAAATGAATCAACAGTGACCTCTTACCCCCAAAACATGCCCGCTTTTCAATTCTCGTTGAGAAATTCACCGACTTTCAATCTGATTTTCAAATATTTGAAGGAAGATTGTCATATATAAAAGATGTTTTAAAGTGCCTATATCACTTGTGGGACCTTTATGGATTTGAAAAGAGGGTAAAAAGTTAGTTAATAAGTCCTAAAGATTTTTTTGATTAAGTGCAATAATTTCGAAGATACAGGCCTCTAAACTACCTACAGTTCCTGAGTCCCAGGCCCCTATGCACAATGGACAGTTTCAAAAAAAGCCAAATTCAATAGCCGTGTTTAGACTTCAGGAGGCTGAGACTCATGAACAGTTCGTTGTTTAAAGGCCTATATCCTCAAAACTATTGTACTAAGTCAAAAAAATCTTTTGAACTTATTAACTAACTTTTTGATCTCTTTTCAAATCCATAAAAGTCCCACAAGTGATATAGGCACTTTAAAGTGCTACTGCAGCGAATTTTTGAACCTAGTTTTTTTTAGCTTAAATAAAAATTCAGTCTTTCAGAAGTATTTTCATATATATTTGACCATCATGCGATACTTAGAAGTTGCCAAATTTAACCTCTGAAGTTGGTTATCGCGTGCAAACTTTTCCGTCGCCATATTGATGCAGTGTGACGTCATAAGATGAACGGAAACGAAAATATGAAGGTTGATATGATTTTCGTATTTGTAGTAAATTATATGGCGCGTCAACATATTTCAGTGGAATTTTTGTCTATTTCACTTGTTTATAGCGCAGATAACTGATTTTTAAAAATCGAAGAACAAGTGCTATATCTTATCTTAGAGATTCAGATAATAGGGTCAGTACTGCATCTGGAAGTCAACGAATATGGACTCGGCTAAGTCGGCTTTCAAATACGATGATGAACCAGTTGCCTAACAGCTACTATACAGCTTCACTAGACGAAGTGATAGGGAAATTATATAACGCCGCTGCAGATAGGCAACTACCATCTGTCACTGTGTTGGAGCAATCAAGCAATCAAGCGATGGTACAATACCTGCATGAAAAATTATTGGTAAGTAGATCCTTTTTACGAGCCTTTTTATTGCAGACCTCTCAACTCTCACGCATTCGGCGTGAGTCTCACGCAATTCGCTTCACTCTCACGCTCTCACGCCTCGTTTAGTAAATCTCACGCATATAGCCTCGCATATAGCAGTTTCATAGTATTTTTTCAATAAATAAATATAATATTGTATTCTTAAATGCACATTATTAATCATTATACGGATCGCGAATCGAATATATAATCGCGTCTTATTGTTCCTGCATATAGTGCCCGACATAGTCGACATTATGGCTTTTGCCCGCAATTTGGATACAAAATAGTACGCATATGTAAATATGGCGGACAAAAAGCAGAATCAGTCGGAGCAGAATGCTATATGTAAAGTATATATATAAATACAGTTTTTGTAACTGAAGTGCCTTGTCTTAAAGGACGTTACGAAGCAATGACGTATTTCATTAAAAAACACAGCTGCCTTACGTTTGAGCAGAAAAGCGGTCGACTTTAGTTGGATTAGGCAGATTGTGACTGAGTCAGTTAACCATTGAGTAAAAATTGTGCCACTGTGCAATATCACATATACTGTTATATTTTGAAATTATATTAATCTTCAAAGTCACAAATATATTTCAGTCTCACATATTAAATAGCGTACCAGTACAATATTATACTATTGTATTATTATATTTGTTGTTACTTTATACTATGCAATATGTATTATTGATATGACTGAAAACTGAATCAAGTATAACTCCAATGGCATCGTTTCTCTCAAAATGGCATCCGAGAAGTCTTGTTGAAACTAGGTCAAGGCATATACTGAATTGTTGTCTTTATTTCAATCTCAAGATGCTCTGGACAAGAAACTTAACAGGAGATACTCTTTTTACAACCACAAATGCTCTAAAACATAAGAAATGTTAAACACTTTAGACTAACTATATAGCATCGTTTGCGAAAAATATTCACCATGTGTGCGAACATATTAATTTGTACTTCACTATATACCTGACTAATTATTTGCCTTGCGTCTGTTAGTTGTACTTTAGCCAGGGGAACAATTCTAGCCATGTAAATTGTATAAAACGTTTCTTCCTTCAGTATTCTTTCCATTTTACGAGGTTTTGTCAATGAAAATAAGATATAGCACGAATCTTCAAAACGGGGTCAATCAAAACACTAGGTTCGCAGATGCGTGAAAACCCGCGGTCAATGTTTACGGAGAAAATTCACTGACTTTCCTTCACTCTGTGGATCTGTTTCTTTGTTGGGAAATGGATGCATGTCTGTCCAGAATTCGTGCAATAATCTAAGTTAGAACTGCCAGAAACACGGCCTTCGTCTCCGCGTTTGTTGGTTTTACTATAATTTTAATACGCCATGATGAAATCGTGTTCATCTTATGACGTCACATTGCATCAACATGGCCGATCAAAAGTTCGCACAGGAAGTGCCAAAAATGGCCACTTTGGAAGGCTATAAAATCAGTTTGAACTGACCAATTTCAATTCTGTTTGTGGTATACAGGTCAGGAAGGAAAGCACTTTTAATTAAGCTAAAAAAATGAGGGTCGAAAAATTCGCTGCAGTAGCACTTTAAAGGGATACAAGAATATATTTTTTTTATTATTTCATTTTAAAGAACTTTTAAAATTATATGTAAATCTCCTTTACCGATTTTGGGTAACTTTACTATTTCCTGAAATATTTTGACTTAAAATAATTTGCTGTCCGCCATCTTGGATGAATTTTTATCTCATTATCAGTGATTTTAGTGACGTCAAAAGCAGGGTAAACCATATAAAACTACATCTAAATGACCAAATAACATTAGGTCTTGTTCGAAAAGTCGTCAGACACTTTTTTATTTCAAATAGTTACTGAAGTATATGATTTTGGGCTCATAATAACCAATTGCTCTATGGATAAAATTCTTGCGTGACCCTGCTTATGATGTCACATGCATATCCGCCAAAATCCAAGATGGTGGAAAGCTCGCTGATTTGTGATTTTTTCTGTTCAAATATCTCAAGAAATAATAAAGTTACGCAAAATCGGTAAAAGAGATTTACATATCATTTTAAAAGTTCTTCCAAATGAAATAATAGAAAAATATATTGCCGTATCCCTTTAAAGAAAGTAATCCAATTAAGCATATCCTATCGTTGGATTACAATTATTGCTATATTTCTTGTATTCTAAAAGCCATTAGTTAAAAACGAATTTAAAAAACGGTTTAAAATGAATAAAAATTAATACAATGCATATTGTATATTTAACATTACCTGGTATATTTTTCTTCTCTCCAAAACACATATTTTTCATCATTGTATGGATTTCATCTGTTCGTTCATCAATAAAAGACAATTTCTCCTCCACATTCTCTATTTTTTCGGTTCGTTCATCAATAGAGGACAATTTCTGCTCCATATTGTCATGAAACACACTGTTCGTTTGTAATTCCTTCAAACGATATTCATGTAATTCTTGAACTTTCTCTGTAGGAAAATCGTCCTCGCTCATTTGACCAATAGTATCAACAAAAGCGGTATCAATATTGACTGCTGTTAAAGCGTTGGTTACCAATTGTACATAGTTATCAAAATCAGTTTTGACTATTTCAGGTTTGGGTGAATGGCAAAGTGTGTTTCTCAATAATCGCAGTTGATCAATTGCCAAGGCGTAGGTCTCATCTTGATTTCCTGTTGAACTTTGAACTGATGAATGAAAAGAACCAGGAAGTGGTTTAACTTTCTTCAAATATAAATCATTCAAAGTTGATCCCTTGCTGCCTGGAACACCAAATGTTTTGGCATAGATTGTTGCTTTAAACAAAGCTGTGGAATCCCACTCCTCAATTGATTTCGTAGTTGGTATATCTGTTTTACCACCTTCAGATTTAAGAAGCATGTTCCGTACTGTGATACTGTCATCCCATGAAATGAATCCTGGTCTTACAGCAACCTTGCTGTCCCACATGGTGATGAAAATTTGACGCAACACCTTGGGAAACTCATCAAGAACAAGTGTGGAAAACTTAAAAAAATTTAATTGTTCCTTCGAAAATGGTTTCACTGCCATCGTGGTGCAAGATCTAGGCCATTTAATTTCTTTCTGTACCAACTATCTATAAAAGCGGAAAAAAATACAAAAAATAATTTCTTAGAGTGGTTATACCTCTCATAAATATAATGCAATTTTACACTAATTTCACACTGAAATATAATAGTCTTATATGAGGTATATCCATGGTCTAGAATTTTAGACTTTGAGAGTTTTTTCTAAATTTCGTGGGTGTGTAGTTGCCAATCACCCAGAACAGCCACATGCATGGAACTAATACTGTATACTATTGTTTTGTGTTTTATTAAAAAACTCTATGGCAACCGCAATTTTTGGCCTAATACTGTATGCTCGCCAACAATATATAGACTATGCCTGTGGTTGTTCTATGCTTTACAACCAAATACAAAGCGAGCATACGTCTGCATTACGCACTAACATTACAGTAAGTTACTTTGCAACTATTAAGGGGCGGACCATTTGATTTTTGAGGGGGTGGGGGGTTGGAAGATTTCGAAAAAAAATTTCCTGCAATCCAAGGAGAAAGAAATATTGTGTCCACAGGCTTGCACGATTTTGCATTTTTGAGCAGGCACATTTGCTTTTGAAGAACATTGGGTGAACAGTGGACAACATCATAGGGATTCTACCGCCTTTGGAGTCTATAACATACGATAGCCAGTGGTAGCGATGCCGGAACTGGGAGGGCAGGAGGGGCAACCGCCCCCGTTGCCCTTTACTACGAGGGCAAGGGGGGCAAAGGTGCCCTTTCAATTCAAAGGATTGCCTTGGCGAAATAGCGAATTGTCAGAAATGTTAGTGCAATTCTTTTACGAATTTGCTTCAGAAAACGCAAGAAATGCAGTCATTGAGCTTCACGAATAGCACAATCGCCTGGCGGAGAACCCCCTCACACCCCTATCATCTAATAAATAGAAAACATGATCAGGCGAAGTTCAATTCCCGATGGTTTGCAAACATCTCTTAATATATATCATTTCAAAAGTGCCCTTGCCCCCCTTGCTTTCACATCGTTCCGGCGTCCCTGGCCAGTGGCGTTCCCTGGCAAAATTGTTGCTCCCCCCCCCCCCCTGAGAAAATCTGGGCTTAAGATATGTACAAGTTTATAAGTTATTTATACATATCTAATATGCGTGGTAGAAAAAGTATTTTTGGATGGTTGAGTCTGCGTGCGTTTTTTGAGAACATAGCTCCAAACTATTAATGCTTCAAAGGCTCATCTACAGGATGCAAGTTGAACGTACTGTATATGGGATGATTTTACTCTTTATCGACCAGCGACATTTTGACGATTTTACGACTCAATTGTTTATAATGTAAATATTCAGCGCGTATTCACACCCCTTCAAAACAAAGGGAGCGATTGCAGAATACCCGTCCACTTTTGAAGACATCACCTGTTATCATGATACGATGTGAAAATGACTACGTAATAATTATATATTTGCGCTATTATAAAAGTCTGGGTAAGCTATATTTTTGGCTGATACGATGATACGATGATACGATGATACGAAGTGAAAAGAATTACGTAATAACTATATATTTGCGCTACTATAAAAGTCTGGGTAAGCTATATTTTTGGCAGATACGATGATACGAAGTGAAAAGGATTACGTAATAACTATATAACTGCGCTATTATAAAAGTCTGGGTAAGCTATATTTTTGGCTGATACGATGATACGAAGTGAAAATGATTACGTAATAACTATATATTTGCGCTATTATAAAAGTAGTATATTTTTTGATTTATAAATAATTAGATATGGCCCACGGGTAAGGTTTTCAAAGAACGAGACAAAGAGATATACATGTCTTTCAAAGAACGAGGCAAACACATATACTGTATACGTGCTATTTCACTTCGTATCATCGTATCATCGTATCACGCAATAATATAGGTTACCCAGGCTTTTATAATAGCGCGGTCATATAGTTATTACGTAATCATTCTCACTTCGTATCATCGTATCATGATAACAAGGGATACCTCCAAAAGTGGACGGGTATTCTGCAATTTAGCCCAGTTGTATATTAAAAACCTCAGTTGCCAATATGAACTGTCTCGTCTCCCTAACGGCGAAGCCGTGTGGTAACGAAAGCCTTAAAAAGTTCAGAAAGTGAAGCGGCTAATAGGCGTAATAGTCCGGTTATAAAACCCGTTGCAAGAAAGACTATACGACCGTCTGTATTTACTCTCGTTATATTTTCTCGCGCCAACAAGAACAATGTAAAAATCAAGCTTTTCCCATAGAAAGGCCAAAATATTTCTTTCCAAGGGTAAATCTTTAACTGCTATCTCTTGCTCGCGTTTCGACTTTCGAGAAGCGTTCAGTTTTACAACAGCTATTAATTAAAGCGAACGCATGCATCATCAATTTAATTGCTTTTCCATCATTGTGTGATATAGACATAAACACATACGCAACCACACAACGCAAACACAAACACAAATACAAACACACTAAACTGATGGCAGGGTAACCACAACAGCCTGAAAAGCCAATTACAGTGGGCCTAATGTATGTTTACATATTAAAGTGTATTCACTTTTGAGTGACAGCGGCTCAGACTCGCAGCCAATCATCAATTCCCGTCCACTGGTGGACGGGGAATTCGATTACACTGCCAAACCCAGCAGGCGGTATTTCCCAGGCTTGCCCAATTTTAGGAACCGCCTGCCATGCAGGCTAGGGGTTAAAGGGCAATCAGAGGTGACAGATATTAAACATGTGCGTCTCATTGACATACAGGTAACTTAAGATCAGATTTCATATCAAGTCTGTTTACTGCTAGTGTGATATATTGACATTTATAGTTACATTGAAATAGATACTCGTAAATAGCAAGCCTGTTTGCAGGCTATTAGGCATGGACCTTCGGGCTTAATAATTAACTTGAAGACTAAGAGATTTTATGTCCTGGAACGGTTTCTCTCGCAACCTCACCAAGAAACTAATTAATGCCTTTACACCAAACCCGGAAGGAAGCAATAACATCCCACACGTTGACCTTACAGAACGCGCAGCACCTGATGATCTACCCAAAATATGGATAAGATTCCCATTTATTGGCAGATATGGCAATATTTTGACCAAAAAGTTCATCAACAAAACTCGCCGTTTACTAAAGAGTCCGTGTAAATTTATTTTAAACTGGCATACCACGAAATCCAATTGTTTCCTGTCCTGCAAAGACAAGACACCGGATGAATACAAAAGCTCCGTTGTATATGAATTTTCATGTCCGGGTTGCCGAAGCACCTACATTGGTAAAACAGACCGCTGTCTATACACGCGTCTTAAAGAGCATAGCACACGAGAAAACTCGTAAATCAACGCCCACATCAACTGTTGTGAACATTTTCAGCACATCAAATCCCTTATGGAACTTTCACCTGACTCAACTAACCCTATAAACACTAATTTAACTGAACTAATATTTAGGAACTGTAAAATAATTGATAAGTCAGACCACTGGTCTCTGTTGTTATTTAAGGAGTCTCTTGCTATACGCAGACGAAAACCTGATCTTAACCACGGTGCGAAAACTTCCAAAGAACTTATCATATTTTATTGACCGATTAAGCTCCGCCTTTCTTGGCTTTATAATAGCTGCATCTGTAATTTTACACTATTCTTAATCCTGAGGATGACTACAAACTAGTCGAAACGTCGATTAAAATAAAAATGTTATTCGGAGTTACTGTTATTTTGTATTTTCTTAAAATACTGAGTGGTTCCCGTAATTAAAGACTATTATTGTATGTGTTCGGAGTAATAGAATATATAAATTTACAGTGGTGGCAGCGGTGATTCTCGCTTTAAATTGTCGGAAATGGCAGAAATAAAACAAGCCTGTTATGATGGTACGGGAGATGTAGATTTGTGGCTTATGAAAATGAAGTTCTATTGTTCTACAAAGAAATTTGAAGGGAAACAAGAAGCTCACGCCATAGCGAGTAAACTCGAGGGGGCGGCGTTTCTATGTATTGCGAGATTAGACGATGAACTTCAAGATGACCCAAAAGAAGTTAAAGCCGCTTTAAGGAAGGAATTCGACAAAGAATCGATCGACCATGAGAAAGCTGTCGACCAATTACGAGGTTTAAGGCGAAAAGGCGGTGAAACACCAGCACAGTTAGCGTGGAGAATCGAAAAGTTGATGGCGAAGGCTTACCCGGAGTTATGCGCGTCAACACACGGATCGGCAAAGAAAACAAAAGAACAAATGTTACATGATACCTTTTTGGGAGCTATTGACAATGCAATGAGTCAAAAAATAAAGAGCGACAGTAAACATCGAGATTTAAATTTAACACAACTTTCTGAAGAATTAGATCGGCTCGAGCTAATTTATAAAACAACAGCGCCAAAAGTAAACCTCGAAGTAAACAATTTCAAAACGACAGGGGAAGCAGACGAAATATCGTTAAGAAAGATAATCAGAGAAGAGGTAGCAGCCGCCCTATCCAAAGAAAACGATGGAAGTCGGGAAACGGAGGACGAAACAAAACGTACGGTCGGGTTCGTTGGAAAGAGAAATTTCCCGCCAAAACCTAGGAAATTTCCCGCCAAAACCGGTAAAAATCAAGCGTGTTTCCACTGCCAGTCGCCTGAACATTTTCGGAGAGACTGTCCATTTAAAGATCTTTGTCAACGCTGCTGGCAAAAGGGCCATACAGCACCATCTTGCCATGCTACAAGCCCTCGCCCTTCGCCGTCTTTAAACTCCAAGGCGGCTGGGAACAATCGTCAGCAAAAATAAATTCGTTCTCAGCCGCGAAGAAATTTATTACACTAACTGGTACAGTGGTTCAGTCTGGAAGCAGAGAGTTCAAGCATGAGTTTATTTGTGATTCTGGAGCAGAGGTTTCAGTTATTCCAACGGCGTTAGCACAAGAACATTACATGAAAATTCAACCAACTACACGTCACGTGCACGTGCAGATGGCTAATGGGACACACGCAGAATGCAGAGGTGTGGTTCAAACATCAGTTACGGTAGGGACAAATAGTTGTATATTGAGTTTTTTTGTGGTAAGTGGTGTTCAAAACGGGATTCTGGGCCTGGACTCTTTGGGAAAATTGGGTGTATCGTTGAACGCACGAAACAAATTGGCAACAATAGATGGGGCCCAACCCGTGTCACAACCGGAAGTAGATACCCCTCAGGAAATGCTAAAGTGTTGCCACATACGAGTTGCGGAAAGTCGTGATATTAAGCCATTTGAAGAAATATTCATTTGGGGTAAATTGGAAGATAAGAATGAGAAATTTACTAGAGATTCGTATATCGAAGGTACGGAACATTTTCAGCAGAGAACTGGGCTTCTTACAGCCCCGATAAAGATTTCGGCAGAAATGATAAACGATGAAAATAAAATCCCCATATGCGTACTGAATACTACTGATAAATCAATCAGAGTTTATAGAGAACAAACTGCGGCCACAATTCAGGAACTGCTAAGTACCCACAACATAGCACATATTTCAGAGTCAAATATGGGGGGAAATAATCCATCATCACAATATGACCCGGTCCCAGAAGTATCAGTTGGTGAACAATTGACAACACAACAAAGAGAAAACCTAGAAGTTTTAATTCGAAAAAATACACAAGTTTTCGACTACCCAGGAAATAGTGGGTTCACCACAACAATGGAGCACACAATACCCACAGCCGTATCTGATCCAATTGTGTGCCACCCCAGACGACACAACCTGGGGTTAACACAAAAAATTAATGAAGCAGTAGGAAACCATGTAAAGTCGGGACATTTGACACCCTCTAAGTCCCCTTGGGCATTTCCAATTGTACCTGTATTGAAACCAGATAAAACAGTTCGATTGTGTGTAGGCGTGCATGTGATTATCGGTGATATCGAAAGTTTATGGGTGATATCGAAAGTTTATCAAGGATTTTAGTACAATTGCTCGACCATTAACATGGCTTTTGGAGAAAGATGTCACATTCACTTGGGGTAAGGAGCAAGATGATGCATTCAATACACTAAGACTCATGTTGGTTAAAGCTCCAGTATTAGCCCATCCTGGCCCCACTCGACCCTTTGTTGTTACCACGGATGCAAGTAAAGTGGGTCTAGGTGGTGAACTATCACAAGAAGATGCACAAGGACAATTACATCCGGTTGCATATTTCAGTCGTGCATTGACCAAACGAGAACGTTCATATCCAACGTAACTTATGACAGAGAAGTGATGGCTATGCGAGACACGCTTAAGCATTTTCGGTATTATCTGTTAGGAGCAGAAGTAGTGATGAGGACCGACCACAAACCTCTTCTAAAGATCCTGGAACAGAAAGATCCATTTGGACGAAGAGCGACATTGATGAGAGATATAGCAGAATTCGAACCACGCATAGAGTTTATTCGAGGGCAGGATTATCACATGGCAGATGCTCTTAGTCGGATCGGATGGAATGTCAAGTGGGAAGAGAGAGATGAGGATACTAGTAAAGTGGCTACTATTGGTGGCTCTCAAGACGAGATTGGTCCATGCAAGGATGTAAGGTTGGACATAAATGATTTCCAATTGCAGCAAGAACGTGACCCAACCCTTAAGCCACATATTTCCACTCACCGAAACGAACATGGTTTATTCCCACAAGATCATAAGAAGCAAGTGTTACTTCCAGCACCGCTTGTTCCCACCATATTATCATTAGCTCATGACGAAACAGGGCACCAAGGAGCAGAAAAAATGCTTGCAAGAATTGAACCTCATTATTGGTGGCCAAAGATGAAAGCAGAAGTAGAGAAATATGCAAAAACGTGCCAACGCTGAGCAACTACTCTTGCCCAGGGACATAGAAAAGCACCCATTCATCAACGACCAAAAGAAGAGAAACCATTTGCGTTGATAGAAGTAGATCTCAAGGGTCCATTACCGAGAACGAAAGAGGGATTTGACAATATTGTTGTGATAACAGATCCATGTACAAAATATGCAGAGATGCATCCAATTCGAGGACAAACCAGCCAAGTTGTTTGTAAGACACTCATGGGTTGGATATCAAGATATGGTTTACCAAACAAAGTGCACTCTGACAATGGACCTTGTTTCATAAGCGAAACATTTGAACAGTTTTGCATAACGCAAGGCATTATTGAGCATACTTTCAGTCCACCCTATAGGCCACAAGGAAACGCGGGTGTAGAACGGATTAATCGTACGATGGGGGAAGCACTCACAAAATTGGTAGATAAACATCCCAACCGATGGTCTCAACACCTACCTGACGTACAACTAGCATACAACACAGCAGTTCATACAAGTACAGGAGTTTCGCCGTACGAACTAGTTTTCAAGGAGCACCCGCGATCAAAATTCGAAATTATAACAGAGAAGATATCACCAGCAACGGTTAGAGAGAAAACGGAACGACTGCGCGAGACTGTTAGTGAGGTATTCCAAAAAGCACAAGAGTCCGATGCCAAGTTAGCGGAAAAACGCAGAGAACGGTACAACAGTAAAACTTCGTTTAAATCGTTGGGGGTGGGTCAACAAGTTTGGAAAAGAAATTTACGAGCAAAACCATTTGCAGATCGGTGGACGGGACCCTATGTCGTAGTAAAGCCCACGTCGGTAACCAAAACATCTTATGTAGTGAGAAGGAATAATGGAACTAAAGAAGAAATTGTCCATTACAATTACCTTAAACCTTATCAGATTCGACCTGTCAAGAAACCAAAGTCAAGGAATCCACCAAAGAAGAATGGGGTCGGACACCCAGCACTGGGTACCAGTGAGGACAGTGAATCTGACAGCAGAGAAGAGGAAATGCAACCAGAGAGAAGATATCCAGAAAGAATCCGAAGACCTCCAGAAAAATACACATAATACTTTTAAAGGGGGGAGTGGTGTGATATATTGACATTTATAGTTACATTGAAATAGATACTCGTAAATAGCAAGCCTGTTTGCAGGCTATTAGGCATGGACCTTCGGGCTTAATAATTAACTTGAAGACTAAGACTATTATTGTACATGTGTTCGGAGTAATACAATATATAAATTTACACTAGGCGCATTTACCACATTATATAGACTATATACACAAATTTATCACACTAAGAAACCAAAACTTTATAAAAAATATAGAACTGACAGTGGCCAAAGTCCAAAACAAATGTAAGCGTAACATTAGACGTCACATGAAAAAGCTTTAGAAATTTGATAAAAATTCGATGGTGGGTCCTCGGGCGCTTACTTTTCCCTCACTAGAAACTTCATGTATCAGCCAACAGGAGGAATCTAGGGGCCCCATCTAGCGTATTATTTTATATAAGTTTACTTGTAGGCGAAACGCCAGAATTTTTTTGCAGGGCACCGCATTTTAGTACTGTGTCTGGTTAAAATGAAATTCTGGATATAAAGGCGCTTCAATACAACAAATATTTAACTCATATTGATTTGTGGCGAACTCTCAAGAATTCACAAGTTATTCACGCTATTGTGGAAACAAAATTCCGAATGTTTGGCCAAGCGGTGAGTAAATATATGATTGTTTCGGTTTGTGTGATGCTTTGACGGCATTCGACCCCCCCGTTCAAAAGGTTATTTTATTAGGATTTCAATGGTATTCTTTGTTTGGCTAAATTGCAGAATACCCGTCCACTGTTGAAGGTATCCCTTGTTATCATGATACGATGATACGAAGTGAGAATGATTACGTAATAACTATATGACCGCGCTATTATAAAAGCCTGGGTAACCTATATTATTGCGTGATACGATGATACGATGATACGAAGTGAAATAGCACGTATACAGTATATGTGTTTGCCTCGTTCTTTGAAAGACATGTATATCTCTTTGTCTCGTTCTTTGAAAACCTTACCCGTGGGCCATATCTAATTATTTATAAATCCAAAAATATACCACTTTTATAATAGCGCAAATATATAGTTATTACGTAATCCTTTTCACTTCGTATCATCGTATCAGCCAAAAATATAGCTTACCCAGACTTTTATAGTAGCGCAAATATATAGTTATTACGTAATCCTTTTCACTTCGTATCATCGTATCATCGATCGTATCAGCCAAAAATATAGCTTACCCAAACTTTTATAATAGCGCAAATATATAGTTATTACGTAATCTTTTTAACTTCGTATCATCGTATCATGCAGCCAAAAATATAGCTTACCCAGACTTTTATAGTAGCGCAAATATATAGTTATTACGTAATCCTTTTCACTTCGCATCATCGTACAAAAATATAGCTTACCCAGACTTTTATAATAGCGCAAATATATAGTTATTACGTAATCATTTTCACTTCGTATCATCGTATCATGATAACAGGTGAGGTCTTCAAAAGTGGACGGGTATTCTGCAATCGCTCCTACAACTGTCTATTTGTTCGAACGTACAGAGGCAACGCGTTTATGTCTCGTTTGATTATGATTATTTGATTATACAAACTCGGTCGGATAGTCCTGAGGTAGAATTAACTTCGATTCCTAATTCCTAAATGAACTGAACCGGCAATTCGGCTTATTTCGGCCAAGGTTTTACCACTGTCGTAAGGTTTCTTTTGCTTGCCTTAAATAAATAATTTCTCCGACGATATATAAAAATATAAGATATTTTCTCTATTGCCCCGTATTTTAGTTTCAAAGCACACTTAATACACAAACGACAAGTCCTTTACATTTTCCGCGCTTGCTTTTCTACCTCTTGTCGTTATTCAGAGGTCCTGATTGAAACTTTCAATGGCGTTTCTTTCGACATATTTTTATACATTTGCAATTTTGCGACCAAACAATAACATAGTTTGACAGTTTGATTGTTAATATATTTAGTGTTTGCTGATTGGCTAATTGGACCCGGACAAAAAAGTGGGCGGTTATCAAATTACACTGCCAAACCCAGCAGGCGGTATTTTAGACCGCCTGCCATGCAGGCTATTTAACACCTGGTCTTTGCTACTTCAATATATATTGCTTCTTGTCCTTCTTCTCAGTTCCATTCACAGCTCACTAGTCGCTGCGAGTAATCACTGTGCTTGATATAATTTGTGCTCTTTACTGTGGTTCTATTTGCTTTTAATGCCCGCAGCAATCCCTACCTTGCAGGTACCCTAGTTTAATATTTAGCACGCTACATTCTCCTGTCGGCCGCCAGTTGGTCCGTACGTTAGGGTCGAAACTGCGTTTTAAAGCCTTCAAATTAAATATTTTGGGCTCAAAACACTGTAAAAAGGAAGAGTTTTAAAAGTGAAACGAATCCACTGGCAATAGGGCCGAAAAAGAGAAAACTAACAATACGAAAGTTATCAAGGTCAAATTATGTATTGCACTTTCAATTAGTTTAATAATTTTGAGCGATTTGTGAACAATACAATTTCGCTTGTCTTTCAAAGGCCATAAATCGCTAGAATTACCAAAACAAAAACAGTAAACTTTCAAAACAGTTTTTATATCAGAGCATGCAGAACGTGGAACACTCTACCAATATCTTTAAGAAACTTAACTTTATTGTCTTCGTTTAAACGTTGTCTATTTAATTACTATTTTTTATTAACTTCTAATGTTTATAACCCAGAATTGCCGCGCACATACAAGACTTTTGCGTCAAATGTCACAAAGCCAGTCCTTTGGATTCACTCAGTGACACTTTGTGCTGCTAGTGCCCTTTCTTTATATTATGTGATGATTTTTTGTTGTTTTTTTGTTGCGATGCACTATTTAGTGTTTAACTCTTTGTATACAATAATATTTCTATGTATTTTACAACTCACGCGGGGAACCCGTTATTGGAGCTTCGGCTCTGTGGGTGCGCCCTTCCTGTTTTTGGGTAAATTAAATAAATAAATAAAAATAAATAAATAGAATACTGTAGTTTAGTAATACATTTGACATCTGTGAGTATAATTTTTTACACTGAATCGAACGGTGGTATTTTTGTCCTTATTGAAAAGCAAAAAGTCAATCGTGAGAGTTCGAGCTGTAATTCGAAAGAAAACTGTCCTCGAAAAAAGGAATTCGGAAAACGTGAAGGGTTATTTTGAGCGGCTTTTGTCTTTTAAAGGCGTCAAATAGCTAGAATAGAAGTCAATTTTGATATCAATTTTCCATCCGTAAACACAACTTTTCACGCTGATTCGAACAGTGGTATTTTTGTCCTTGTTTGACGCATAAAACCAGAGATAAAGTTGAGCAAACAGTCGATCATCATGAGAGTACACGATTAATAATAATTAATAAATTCCGAGCACGTGCAAGGAATTTTTGGTAACGCGATTAAGGAAACGTATTGATGCGAACAAACTAACAAACGGACAAATTCACAGGCAGAATATAATGCGGTGCCAAAAATGGCACGGGCACCGCAATACAGCCACTACAAATGTTTATTTTGAGTTTTTACAAATATCGGGTTTTTACTCGCACGCGCCTGCCACACGCTAAAATTGGCGAATAAGAAGTACCCGTAGCCCGATGCACGTGTAAATCATGCAGCAGATGTAATTTGACCTTTAGAATCGATTTTCGACGTTTCCCATCGCTAACGCGATGTTTTGGCGAATCTAAATCCTATTTCCGGTCAAAAAATATCCCGCTGAGTTCACTAATATCGCGACAGATTGAAATATCGAAACAAAAGACGAAAAACTGAGGTTACAAGCTTCAAAATAACACTGTAAATAGTGTTTTTGATTGTGAATCGAACAAGGCTACAACAAAAAAGATATGTTTGAAGGGGCCGAAGTTGTGTACGGCGAAATGTATGGCTTTAGTATCGATACATTGTTTACATTTTTCGAACAAATATGTAATTTGTTGAAATATTATCCTTCTTGACCCTTCAAAGGTCATAAATCGCTATAATGTTTCTCTTTGACTAAAAACGAGAAGCCAGTCAGCTCCAGTTTCAGATTCGCAGCTCCAGTTTCAGATTGAATCTGGAGCCAGAGGCATGGCGTTCGTGTTCGAATGGCTCTAACTCCACAAAGCCTTCACCCATCTTAACAATAATTTTTTTTCATTCTTCTTCAAGAAAAGGACTATCATATAACGCAATCCCTAAGTCGCTACTGCTTCTAGATTGCTCTAAACAGCTTGCATAAGTCAAGTCGTCAAACCGTGTCGGGTCAATTAAATCTTGAGCAAGACACGGTTAGTTCCTATCTAAATCTCTGTATCGTCGTAAGGAATAAATGTAACGCTATAATAATTTTTTTCATTCTTCACTGATAATTTGCACATCACCTAAAGCATTCGGCTTGTCTGTAGCGCTTTTAGTTTTCTCTGGAGGCCTCGCATAAGTTATGTCACCGAACAGGGACATATTGATGGAGACTGCAAACACGCGTGCCGCTTAGCGATTTAAAACGCTCGTTCTCCGCCACAAGTTACTTTATCGTCATAATATTTTTTTTCGTTCTTTACCTATAATATTCGCATCATATGAGATTATTTTTAAGCTTATACCGATTTAAACTTTGATTGAACAGCTTGCACAAGACGAGTCGTCGAACAGCCACATATATCACTTACCGCAGGTCAGTCGACAAGTCAGCATACTAAAAACGCACTATCTCAGCCAAAAATAAACATATCCTTTAAATATTATTTTTCATTCTTCCCTGATAAATTACACATTATTTAAAAAAATCAGCTTGTCTTTAGCGCTTTTAGTTTTCTCTGGAGGCCTCGCATAAGTTAGGTTATGCTAATGATGGACCAACCCCCCGTAAGCGGGATTTCCCCTTTGTTTACTACAAGTACAGCTCGAACTATGTAATTGATACATATATAAATTTGTTTTACAATATTACTTAATTGCAAATTAAGAATTGGCGTAATATTTTATAGTTGGGTTCCAATGGG